AGATAGATAGATAGATAGATAGATAGATAGATAGATAGATAGATAGACAGACAGACAGACAGACAGGTGGTAGCACACACCTTTAATCCCAACACTTGGGAGGCAGAGGCAGGTGGATCTCTATGAGTTCGAGGCCAGCCTGGTCTTCAGAGTTCCATAACAACCAAGACTACACACAGAAACCCTGTCTCAAAAAATAAACAAAAAAAGGTGATAGAGGAAGGCACCCAATGTTGACCTCTAACCTCCACCTGCACACACACATGGAAATAAGGTATCCAAAAAATACCTGGTCTATTTTTCTTAAGTTCTCAGGACACAGGAAGTCCTTTTGGTCATCTGCTTCCCAGGCAGAATCTTCCCTTCTCCCTCCCCACCTTTCCCCAGCCCCTAGGTCTTTGTCTCCATCTCTTCCTGGCCAAAAAGGCTCATATATCCCACACTGGCCTTAAGCCTCTGAATCTCAGCCACCAGGAGTGGCCTTTAGTCTCAGCACTTGGGAGGCAGAGGCAGGTGGATCTTTGTGAGTTTGAGGCCAGCCTGGTCTACAGAGTGAGTCCAGGACAGCTAGAGTCCAGGACAGAGAAACCCTATCTTTAAAAATAAGGTTCTGATCCTCCTGCCTCTACTTCCCAATGTTAGGATTACAGGCATACACCACCAGACTGTTATCTGGTGCCAGGGATCAAACCCAGGGCCTTGCACATGCTAGGCAAGCATTCTAGCCTCTAGGTTACATACACAGCCCTTCTTTAATACAAACAAAGTCTTACTCTGCAGCCCAAATATGCAGGTTAGTTTTTGTCAACTTGACACAAACATAGACCTATCTGGAAAGGACTCTTGATTAATGAAATACCTCCAAAAGACTGGCCTGTGGGCAAGTGTGTAGGGCGTTTTTCCTGGTTGATGGTTGGTGTGGGAGGGCCAGCTGACAGAAGGCAGTACCATCCCAGGGCAGGTGGTCTTAGACGGTATGAGAAAGCTGTCTGAGCAAGCCACTGGGAGCACACTAAACATCACTCTTCCATGGTCTCTGATTCAGTTGCTGCCTCCAGATACCTGCCCTGAGCTCCTGCCCTGACTTCTCTTGATGACAGATCATAATCTATGACGTGAAATAAGCCCTTTCTTTTCCTTGCCAAATTGCTTTATATATATTATTACTTACATTTTTTTTTTTATTTTATACCAAATTGCTTTTGGTCATAGTGCTTATCACAGAAAAACAAAATAAAGCAAACAAAAAATCCCCACCCTACCTAGACCCAGGTGATCCTTGAATGCACTATGCTGGCCTCAAACCTAGATGTTCTTGTCTTAACCTTCAAAGTGCTGACGTTACAAGTATGCACAATCACACCTGGATAATATTTTCTTCTATTCAATTTTCCTATTGGTTTTAAAGGTTTCTGTTTTTGCTTTTTTTTTTGTTTGTTTGTTTTTGAGACAGGGTTTCTCTGTGTGTAATTTTGGCTGACCTAAAACTCACTCTATAGACCAGGCTGGCCTTGAACTCACAGAGATACAGCTGTCCCTGCTTCCCAAGTGCTAGGATTAAAGGTGTGCACCACCACTGCCCAGCTGGGTTGTTCTGTTTTTACGATTTCTTTATTGTTATTATGAGTATTTTGCCTGCATGTACCTCTATGCTGTAAGTGTGCCCATCGAGCCATAGGAGGGCTTCTGATGCCCTGAAACTAGAGCCACAGATGCTTGAGTCACCATGTGGGCACTAGGGCCAGAACCCAAGTCCTCTGCACGAGCAGCCAGTATTCTTAGCCACTGAGCCATCTTCTCAACTCCCTATTCAGTTTTCATTTCATGTTACAAAACAGTATGTATAGTATGTACCTAGTTTTTTGTAAGAGCATAAATTCATCTTTCTTATTCCGTACGCATGCATGTGTGTGTGCAGGTGTGTGTGTGTGTGTGTGTGTGATCATGCCTGTGTGGTACTGGGATCCGTATGTACTGGTACATGCTAGGCAATTACCCAAGTACTGACTACATTCGAAGCTCCTTCTTTCCTAGTTTTTAAGATAGTAGCCTACATAATATTCAATAGGCTCTAGCAAATTCATCACCTTTAGTGCCTCTGGCCTAAAGGAAAGAGCTAGGCCCCAGCAGACAACTAACTCTGAGCCCCAGACCAAGGTACTGGATACATAGGAACAGAGACGGCAGACAACTAAGAACAGTCCTGAGGGAGTATCCAACAGGGTGATCACAGGAAGAGCACAGCAACTGAGAGGGGGGGTAGTGGACAAGACTCAAGGCAAGCTCCTCAGGGCAGTCAGAACCACATAAACATATGGGGGGTGTAGAATGCCATGAAACAGGATTGGAGTGGGGCAGAAAAGGCTGGGAGAAAGAGAGAAATTAGTGCAAGGTGGAATAAAAGGGAACACGAGGGAGGGAGTCATAAGTGTTTGTGGATTAAGGAAGGCAGTCACACTTCACCCAACAGTTTACAGCTTTCAAGAAGACAGCACAGATCCTGCAACAAAGTGCTCATCAGACAGAGAAAAAAGCGGACGGCAAGAGAGCAGGGGGAACGTGCTGCAGCAGCCCACAGCAGGAAATCGGAAAACCGTCCATCCTAGGAGGCAGCAGAGCCTCCTTCTTATAAGGCAGCTGGTGACGACCACCAGGACCAACACCCTTTTTAAATTAGGTGTTCTAGAGGTAAAATGAGTAGCAACCCAATGTCTACTTTCTTGCTGGAGGAGGTAAGGAAGGTTGCACACTCCTCAGATTTTTTTTCTCTGCCACTGGCTTCACCGAGTTCAGTAAGCACAAAATGGGAAAATTTGCTTAGACCACAGAACTACTCTCTCTGCCCTGGCCCTGCTAAGCCTGAGACCCAATGGGTTCACACTGTCCCTTCATCAGAACAGCAACTACAGGAAACCCAGGATTTCACCACATGAAAATGAACTCACTCTTGAACTTAAGAGATCTGCCTGTCTCCCAAGTGCTAGAATTAAAGGCATATACCACCACCACCCAGAAAGCATTTTCTTTTTTTAAAAAAAGATTTTATTTATGTGTATGCTGCATGTCTGCAGATGTGAGTACAGGTGCCCATGGTGGCCGGAAGACCTGGGGTCCTCAGAGCTGGAGTTATAGGCAGTGTGAGCAACCTATGCAGGTGCTGGGCACTGAACTCCGGTATTCTCCCAGAGCAGCATGTGCCCTGAACTGCTGAGCTCTCTCTCCAGCCCGCTGAGTCATTTCTTAAGCAGTTCGCCCAACTTCCATTCAGGCCGGTAAATGCTTACTGCTGGTTCCAAGGCCCTTTGGGCCGTATCACGGTTCACTATAAAATCATTTTGTTTTGGGATTCAGCAAATGTGTGTGATTTACTATAAATTATTGTATACAAGTGAGTTCCAAAGTCATTTGAAAATATTGGGCAAAAATACTCTTTTAATAATTAAAAAAAAGAGGGGTAAATAGGGGGTGGCTCAGAAGTTGAGAACAAGTTTGATGCCCTCCAAAGGAGCACAAGCATGTACATGCACACACATATACAACTGCTATAATTTTTTAAAAAATATTGACATGGGCTGGAGAGATGGCTCAGAGGTTAAGAACATTGACTGCTCCTCCAGAAGTCCTGAGTTCAATTCCCAGCAACCACATGGTAGCTCACAACCATCTAAAATGAGCTCTGGTGCCCTCTTCCCATGTGCAAACATACAAGCAGAACACTGTATACATAATAAATAAATAAACCTTTAAAAAAATACATATATATATATAAATTGATATATCGATCAAAAGAAAAGTACTGAAATTTCTCTGGGATATGATTCCATAAAATTCGAATTTAAATACTGCCTGACCTAACAATTACACTTTTTACTACATTTACCTCAGATTTATGGATGTAAGTGTATCAAAAGGAGCTCTGCATCTGGAAATTACTACCACATGGGTCTTGAGGGGCTGCTCAAGCAGCTTACAGCATATGTGCAGCACACCGTGAGCACTAGGTTTTGTTTGTTTTCAGACAGGGTTTCTCTGTGTAGCCCTGGCTGTCCTGGAGCTCACTCTGTAGACCAGACTGGCCTTGAACTCACAGAGGTTCTCCTGCCTGTGCCTCTCCAGTGCTGGAATTAAAGGCATGTACAACCACAGACTGGCTACTTTTTTCATTTTTTATTTAGGTTTTTAAACAATGAAGAAATCCCGCCCACACCCAATCTGACAGATAAACCAACAGGGCTGTCAGCCTGTAACCTGGAGACACTCCCAATTGTCCGATCTACCAAGTTCCTGCCCAGCCACCTGGGTCACGTACCTCTGTAAGTGGTAGATCTTGTGTGTGTACTGGCCTTTCTCACCGTCCTCCTTCTCGTAGGGCTCATTCACCAGGACTTCCACACCTTCCCCACCACCGGTTTCATTTTTGCTGGCTTCAGCCACAGAATACAGCTGCCCCACTTGATACTAAAGAACCAAAGAGATAGGCATTATTTGCAACAGTTACACAAGGCCCAAGTGCAACTAAGTCCTTGTCAAAAATCTTTCCAAAGCAAGGGAGAACTCTGCTCTGTGGCAGCTCGTACTTTTTTCTTTTTTTAACTTTCTTTTACTAATTCCTGACCCAAGTATTGAACCCTGGGCCTTCAGCATGTTAGGCTGCTCAACCAATAAGCTGTATCCTCAACCTTTTGTTTTGTTTTGTTTTGTTTTGTTTTCCTGCATCAACCTCCCAGATAGGGAGAATTGGCTCGGCTGTTAAAAGCACTGGCTGCTCTTCTATAGAGGACCCGGGTTCAATTCCCAGCACCCACACAGCAGCTCACAGCTGTTTACAGTTCCAATTCCCGGGAATTTGGCACTTTCACAAACACATGCAGGCATAACATCAATGTACATAAAATAAAAAAATATATACATAAATATTTTTTAAAATCCACTCCTAGGGGGCTGGAGAGATGGCTTAGTGGTTAAGAGCACTGGCTGCTCTTCCAGAGGACCTGGGTTCAATTCCCAGCACCCACAAGGCAGCTCACAACTGTCTGTAGCTCCAGTTCCAGAAAATCTGACACCCCCACACAGACATACATGCAGCCAAAAACACCAATGTACATAAAAGTGAATAAATTATTAAAAAAAAAATCCACTCCCAGATAGCTAGGATTACAGATTCTCTTTAATCATCAGAATTATTCTATGTCATCTTCACATTATTACAAACCCATGAAGTTGTTTGCTTGTTTTGGTTTCTCGAGACAGGGTTTCTCTTATGCCACCACTCCCTTCAAACCCATGAGTTTAAAAAGAGAATACATGGGGCTGGAGTGATGGCTCAGTGGTTAAGAACACTGGCTGTTCTTCCTAAAGGACCTCGGTTCAATTCCCAGCACCCACATGGCAGCTCACAAGTGTCTGTAAGTCCAGATACAGGGGATCTGACATCCTTATACAAACATACATGTAGGCAAAACCACTAATGCATATAAAATTAAAAAAAAAAATTTATAAGAGAGACTACACTATACTTTAATCGTACAGCACTACCCAGAAAACATTATATTGTCCAAGGTCTCTCTTGGCCTGGACCCAGCTCTGGTTTCAGACCCTAAAACAGGATCTCAGTTACTTACTAAAAATCTCTCTATCTCACTTATTTAAACAGACCCTAAAGCTAAGCATGGCACCTCATACTTGTAATGGCAGTACTCAGGAGGCTGGGGTAGGAAGACTGCCAGGAGTTATGATGCCAGCTTGGGCTACAGTGAGTTCTAGGTATCTCTGACCACAGTATGAGTCAAAAGAAATTAGCTGAAGAGGGAAAACATGATCAAGACTCTGGGCACGATGGCCTATAATCTTAGCACTCAGGAGGCAGAGAAGGTGGATCTCTATGAGTTCAAGGACAGCCTGGTCAACATAAGAAATTCTAGGACAAAAAAGAAAGAAAAAAGCAATTCTAAGACAGTCAGGGCTAAACAGTAAGATCATGTTTCAAAAAACAAGAAGAAAGAACATGAACAGTGCAGAAAAAATAAGCAGTGGGAGGGCAGACTACAACTACTCCAAACATGCATCTTCCTCCTGGCTGCCAGGGTCAAGAGTGCCGAGGAAAAGACAGACAAGAACTCAATTACCCAGCCTGCTGGGGGTGGACATGAAGCTTTCCTTTCCCTCTGCACCCTCCCCTCAACTGGTACCCCAGGGGTAAGACTAGGGCTGTTCTCTCTCTCTGAGGTTAAAATTGAGCAGCTGCACCTCTGGCATCTGCCACTGACACCTGCACACAGCTGCCAGCCAGAGCAGGATGCAGAGCTCCCGGTCTGCTCCGTCACACCTTCTTCGCCTCAGCCCCCTAAACACTGCAAGGAAACTTCTGGGTGACATCTGAAGGGTGAAGCAGTGGACCAGGACAGTTCACTGCTCACCACAAAGCAAAAGCCCAGCACAGAATGCCAAGGAAAGACAAGTGATCAAGGCTCAGTTAATCCCATCAAGAGAAACATCTGAGTGAGAGCCAGTTACCTTGATCTTGCTAATCCTGAGCAATACCAGTACTGCTTTGGTGCCTCACGGATCCCCACACTACCCCCTGGTCCTTTCCAGTCTTGCCTTAGCAGGCCTTAGCACACTTGAAACCCATATCAAGTGGGTCAGGGTTTGGCTGAGCCACATGAAGCAGCAGGAGCTCTGCTCTAGAGAGGAGTCACAGGACACTGGACGACTGACTCAGCAATCCTAAAGGGCAGGCTGGGGAGAGGGCTGGACTAGCTGCAGCTTGCTAGTTAGTGCTCCTTGGGGAGGGGCCCTGGGGCCAGCAAAGACCATGGTCTTCAGGGATTCCCTTCAGGGGCAGATCAGAGGGCGGACTCTAAGAGGATCAGTCTGCATGCTGGCCTCTTCCCCTTTAATCTCTCTTGATACTCTGATCCTTTAATCCCAATGAGACAAGTGAGGCAGTTTTGTTAATCCAGAGGTAAAGAAGACAGATCTGCACAAAGCACAAGTGAGGGGGACTTCACGTCAGGTTTCCTTTGGTACAGCCTCTCTGCATCCTGGGAAGGCTGCCAGAAACAAGGTGGGGTGGCAGTAAGGATGAGGGTCAGACCACAAAACCAGATAAGGAGCCCCACGGAGACCAGGATTCCAACCTCCTCAGGCTGAGACAATGTTATCTTGCCCTTGAGAGTTGTCCCTTGTCCCATAGACCAAGTCACTCAGTGAGCAAAACAGAGACTCTAGGACTTGGATAATCAATGAGTAGGAACGGAAGGAAATGAAATGTGGAATAGAAACACTGAATGACACACATAAGGAAAAAACAATACAGTTGGGCACAAGTGGCCCAAATCTGTAATCCAGCACACAGGAGGCTGAGCCAGGAAGACTGCCATGAATTAGTTAGGGCCACGTGGGCCACATACTGGCATCAGGCTAGCCAAGGTGTTCTGTCTCAAAAACAAACAACAAACAAAAAAGGCAAGAAAAACAGTGCTCTGTTGGCCTACCCAGACAGCCCTGTGAGGCCACGTTCTCCAGAGGAACAGTGCCCTGAGCCCGCCCTGTCCGCAGGAGGTGGATCAGGAACTGCTGGTGGACACGCCCATGTTGGACAGCCAGGACTTTCTTGCCCTGCCATAGAATGCCTGGAAACCCAAGGTAGTGTTACACTAAAGGCTCTGGCCAAACAAGCTAATTCTGCCCCTAAATATTGATTCAGGCCATCAGGATGACTACAAATCCATGGCCTCCTCTTTCCCTTTTTTCTCTCCAAATCAGAAGCTCCAAGGGACTCAAGTCATGGTCTCTGATAAGAGGAGTGGCCCTGCCGGTCACATGACAGAGGGCTGTTCTCCTGGGAGCAGTGAGTCAGAGAGGTAACTGACAGTGACTCTAGGAGGCCTGTTCCTTACTTCTTCACCCCCCATTCTAGAATTTTCTGATTATCCGGAACTAAGGATCAAGCTACCGACAGGGCAGCCTCACCCCTGCAACCTGCTGCTGTCCTGCCCGTGTGTTGCTGAGAACAGGCTGACCACCACCACCACAGCTGACTCTAGACCAGCACTAGCCACCTCAAGCTTCTGCTGGGCCTAGGCTCTGACTACCCAGCCCTGTCTTACCACTTCCTCCAGACTGCAAAAACACCACAGGCTAAAACTGCCAGCTGCGGATGTTCTTAGGGTGGGCCCTTCCCACCAGGAGAGGTCGGAGCAGCAGAGGGGTGCTCCCAGACAATTCTGGGCCCCCGATTCTGCAGCAGTCTCACAGTCTTAGCTTTTGACACATCAGGAGACTCCATCGGATCCACCATACCTAATGAAGACAATCCCACATCCCTGAGAGACACCCTTTTTTCCTTTCCTTCCTTTCCTTTTCTTTTTATTTGTTTTGTTTTTCTGCATAGCCCTGGCTGTCCTAGAACTTACTTTGTAGACCAAGCTGACCTCAAACTCGGATGACCCTGTACAGCAGAGAGGCCACCTAAGTTTCAAGGTAAGAGTCATAGTGGCTTTCTGTTAGAAAATCATCTTACAGGACTGGAGAGATGGCTCAGAGGTTAAGAGCACTGGCTGTTCTTCCAAGGGTCCTGAGTTCAAGTCCCAGCAACCACATGGTGACTCATAACCATTTATAATGAGCTTCTGGCCTGTAGGCACACATGCAAGTAGAATACTATATAAACAATAAATAAATCTTTAAAGAGAAAAATCATCTTACATGACCCCCCCCCCATCCTTTTCTCTGAAGGATAGGTTTTCACTATGTAGCCCAGGCTAGCCTGGAACTCCCTATGTGGACCAAGATGGTCTTGAACTCACTTGCTGTTTTATATAATGATAACAAGGCCCTCAAAAGAAATGGGTTGACTCTTGAAAAGCTAATGCCCAGGCACCTGGTTTCTCAGGTGGCTCCATATATCATAGCTTCTTATCTGGCCACTTCCTCTTTCCCCAATGTATGTTTGTCTGTGTCCCTCTATCTCCCTATCTCCTCCCTCCTCTCCATCATTTGTTTGTTGGTTTTGTTTTTCTTTCCTTCCCCCCACCCCTAAAGACAGGATCTTTGTGTAGCCCTGGCTAGCCTGGAGCTTGCCATGTAGACCAGCCTGGCCTCAAACCCACAGAGATCCAGCAGCCCCAGCTTTCTGAGTGCTGGAACTAAAGGCATTGCCACCACACCCAGCTTCCTGATCCCTTTGTTGAAACAGTTATCCTTCTGTATATCCTTCTGTAGGCCAGGCTGTCCTGAAACTAACTTTGTAGCTCAGCTTCTACCATGCAGCCTCCCAAGTGTCAGGATTCAAAATGTGAGCTACTCCATTTTTTAAATTAATTAATTAATTTTATGATGGAATCTTACTGTATGCCCACTCTGACCTCAAACCCTTTGCAATGAGATGTCCCTTTATCTTTCTCAGATTGCTCAGACCATGTTCAAAGTCACATCTGGCCCTGTCCCCAGATCTCCAAAGCCTTCGCCAGGTGTGCAGTACCCGCTGGAGAGATGGCTCAGCTATGAGCACTTGCTGCCCTTTAGAGGCCCCATGCTTGATTCTAAGCACTTACACTGGGCAACTCACAACTCCCTGTGACTCCAACGCCAGGGCCTTCTGAGGGCCTCTGCGGGTACCCCCACATATACAGCAACACATATACACAAGAGCAATATCCACACAGAAATCAAGATAAATGCTCTCCAGAGCATTTTTAAAATGAAGGTGGTGGTACACGCCTTTAATCCCAGCAGAGGCAGGTAGATTTCTATGAGGTAGAGGGAGGTGGACCTCTGTAAATTCAAGGCCAGCCTGGTCTACAAAGTGAGTTCCAGGACAGCCAGGGCTACAGAGAAACCAGCTAAAAAAAAAAAAAAAAGCAAGCTCTGGGCTCTGTTGGCCTGCTTTCGTTTCTCGGAAGACTGGCTCCCATGTGGAGCACAGGATTCCCTTTGGTCCCACAGGAACAAGACATGGAGCCACAACCAGGGGTTCAGGCTGGCCTTCATTTCTTTGGAGACTGGGGAGGGGCTGTGGATTCAGAGGAAAGTCAAGAACAAGCTTCGACAGGAAGGGAGAATAGAGGAAGTTCAGAAAAAGGGTGGGCCGAGGGAGGTTTTCTATCCAAGAGACAGCTCTGAGTCAGCATGGCCTATGAACCTTCTTGTAGCAACTACTGCTGCCAGCTCTCCATGCACAGGGCCGTCAGACCTAGGAACCATAAAAGGACAGAGGGCAAGCCAAGCCCGTTTGTCATCCCCTGCCCTCCGTAAAAGGAGGGTTCTGTGCCTTGGTCTTTCCAGCAGCCACCTAGCATGGCTCCTCAGAGATTTCCAGCCTTGCTGGTTTACCTCAGAGCCAGAAAGCACCATTAATCACATAGTATCCCCAGCCTGGTCATGGAGACCCCACATATGCACACCCTGCAGCTCATCATGAACATGCCCCAAATGGTCCAATCCCAGCAGGTGGAGAGCTGCTTTAGTCTCTCCTCAGTTACCCAGCAAGTCAGCAGCCTGCAACTGATTGTGCCCAGGTACCCAGATTCACCGCAGAAGTGCCCTCCTTCAGAAGAGTTGCACCATGAATATGTGAACTGAGCCTCAGTTATCTCTGTATTAGAACAAGAAGTGAAAGACACACAAATAGTGTGGCCATTCCCAGCCCACCCAACGTTCATAAACACTTATGAGCAACTATGGATGAGAAGAGAAAAAAAGGACTTACCTCATCTACAGACACAGGTAGGATGACTCTACTACAAGAGAGGAGAAAGAATATCAGCTCCAAGCTCTGAAGCCCGAGGTTTGCAAAGCATCCCTTATCTCAGCGGCCCATACCTTGTGGCACCCAACCCTTTCCTCACTGACAAAAACCCAGCAGGGAATGGCCCTCTGCTGCAAGGCAAGGGTCCCCCATGGCTTTCTGGAATCCCGTTCAGAATCCTGTGATTCAGAGCAAACCTGAATTCCCCACTAGTAGGTACTGATCAGGCCATTCACTCACATCTTTCTCTCCCACTCCCTCAACTGTCTCTTTCCCAACAAGACTTGCTAATATGTCTAGTAAAACAGAGACGCTAATAGAGAAGGCTCATCAGGCTCACCGTGAGGACTCACGCCAAAGAATGTGGCCCTGGGGATGTACACCAGTAGCTCCAACCTCCAAACACCAGCCTTCACAGCCAAGGGCTATGAAGGAGCCAATTCCCTAGAGGCTTCATTGCCGCCGCCACCTCTGCTCTCCAAAGGATGTTACAATACATGAAGCCCTAAAAGACGATGCCCAGCTCTGACCTCCAGGGGCTATCCAAAGGCACCCCAACCCTCCATTTCTTTCTTCCTCCATTTTGACTACCTCCAGTTGTTGGAGATGCCACAAATAAGCTGATGGAGAAATCATGGCCAGGGAAGTCCTCAAGAAGCCAGAACTCCAGAGAGCTAAGACGGGAGCCACTTCTCCAGGTGGCCTGCATTTGTAACAGACCAGTGACTGGTCCCCAGTGCGGTGCTTTGATGTCAGAGAGCTGAGAAGAAAGGCCTTGACTGGAGTCAAAAGTCAAGCCACCCAGCACTAAGGAGGCAGAGGCAGGTGGGTCTCCATGAGTTTGAGGGTAGCCTGGTCTACATAGCAAGTTCCAGGACAGCCAGAGTTACATGGTAAGACCTTGTTTTTTGTTTTGTTTTGTTTTGTTTTAAAAAGACAGCTGGGCGTGATGGTGCACGCCTTTAATCCCAGCACTTAGGAGGCAGAGGCAGGTAGATTTCTATGAGGTAGAGGGAGGTGGACCTCTGTAAATTCAAGACCACCCTGGTCTACAGAGTGAGTTCCTGGACAGCCAGGGCTACACATAAAGACCCTATCTCAAAATAAATAAAATTAAAAAACAAAAGACTAAGACAGCAAGCGGCAAAGCTGAGATCGGCAGTGCTCGGAACCTGGCTGGAGCCTGCTGGGCCCTCTGTACCTTGTGTGCTTGCTTAGTAAAGCATGAGAGGATCACAGGCTGCAAAACAGCTTGCTATTCCCTAGCCCCACAAAGTTCTCCCAGGCAGCAAGAAAACACTCAGTGAGACCTGAGGAAAACATCACAGTAAAAGCCAGGCATCAAGCAGAAAAAGCAGCAGGAAAAAAGAAATAAAATAGGCTCCAAGTCTACTGCCTGCTAACTCCCTTCCTCCAGAAAGACTCAATAATGTAAACTCTCCCATTAGAAAAAACCAACAGTGCAAAGAACTTCCAACTTAGAGGGCAGAATTTCTACACCCCCAGAAGGAACTTCCTAGAAAACAATACGCCTTTTATCTTCAAGAACACAGCAAAAATCACATCGAAGAATTGCAGAAATCAAATCAGGAAAAGTCCTGTTAGAGGAAGTGTCAGAACAAAACCATCAGGGCAACTTTCAGATCCAAGCTGCCCCTCAGGACTGACCAGCACTGGCCAATGCCTTCAAGGATGCTCCGAGTCTGCTGCAGTCTACACACCCAGACATTGCTCCCTTGCTCCCTTGGAACAAAACCACCTCAGCAGCCACAGGGGTCAGTTTGAAAGGATAAGGCCATAGGGGCTGGGCTGGGCCAAGACTGGAGCCATGTTCACCATGGCATGACCTTCACTTGCAGCCTTCTCAGAGCTGCAGTACTGCAACTACATCCAAGGAGCCTGATGGCCCCTCCTACCCAGTTTCTCTTCCTGTCCCCCGCCCAGGGATGCATACACAGGGCACAAGTCCATCAGGAAGGAAATAAGATGCTGGGAAGGTTCGGCAATGTCTGCACGCTTCGGTCTTTCCCTGGCAGACTTCAAGTGGGGAGCACAAAGAATGGGAAAGGAATGCCTGTCTCCCAAAATCAGTCCCTCTCTTCAGAAGGTCCTTCTTTCCCCAGCTTGACCTTTTCAAAACCACACATTTCTACAGACTGTAGGAGTCGTGTGGGAATTTTTTTTTTTTTTAAATCTGAAAAGTGAGATGAGCTTCTTCGTTTGGACACTGAGTATTAAAATGCACAGTGCACCATGTTCTCCTTGGTGTGTTCTTGTTCTTCACCACAGCTCTGAGAGCTCTGGCTGGATTAACACCAGACTGGACATCAAGAGATATGCCGGGGCACCTGAATAATGTGTTCCCCAAGAGTCAAGGTGGGAAGATACCTGGCTCTCTACGTCACCTGTCACTCAAACTGCACCCTGTATCTTCAACATCTCAAACACTCCTAAGTGCAAAGTGCCTTCGCTGACCAGATGGAAAGAGTCCTCTAAACGCTTGCTTGGTCTCCAAGAGTTTCACAAGTTTAAGTTTCTCTCTACTTGGACATTTCCCATTTCTGAACTGCTGGGGCTTGGGGGCTCATGCTGCCAACTTGCCCTACCCCCAGGGAAGCTTAGCTTCCCCACAGTCTATAGGCACATCCAATCTCTCCTAGGAGGAGAGCACAAAGTCCTGGGATGGTGGCTTGGAACCATTATCCTCAGGGCTGGGTCACAAGGTCGGAAAAGACTTAGCAATGCAAATAGCCCCACCTGTCAGCCAAGTCCCTGAGTTTCAGGGGCAAACATTCATCTCCCTGTAAGCCCTGCCCATCCCCCAAACCAGCAGCTCCTCACCCCAAAAACATTTGTGGGGCCTCAATTCCTCCAAACAACATCCTCTTCTCTTTGCACCAACACCCAGAATCCCCAAAGACTGGCTATGCCTGTCTTAGTCCCCATCATCTCCATCAGCAGGCACATGCACTCATAGCATCTTCCTGGATGGTCCTGTGCCCTGCTAACTTCCTGCTCTTCTCTGTCACCGAAACTCCTTCACATCACGGCAGAACCTACCCGGGACTTTCTAGACTCTTCATTCAAGTGCTGCCAAGTCCTCAGCAGGCATCCTGAGCTTCTTCCAAAAGCCTCCTCTCCTGCACCTACCACTCAGGTACATGCCACTCCAGCCATCCCCACCCCAGCCCTGTTAGTTCCCTCTGGTTTTCTCTCCTCCCATCACCCAGGCCTGGCCCTGACTGAAGTCCTTTTTTCTGCAACCAATGATTACAATCCTTCCCTTGCTGCCTAAGGCAGCCACTGTCCACGGCCCAGGTTCCGCCTCAGCACTCCTCACCACCACCTCAACTCCCTTCCAGGAGCTACCTTATCTGATCTTCCAGCCCATTGATACAGCTCAGCCTCAAACTCCTCCCTACCGTCAGCCAACTCACCGGCGCTGCCTGTCCTTGTCCCACTGCTCCTTAGTCCCTTACACAACTCCTCACTCTTTCCGGCAGTTCTGCCGGCCCCTTCATCCTCCAGCGCCCACTACAGGGCCACACCACATCCAGCGCTCTCCATTCCCCGGCCCCTCCTCAAGCCTCCCCCCGGCTCTCCCTGTCCCCTTGACCCTTCCTCAGGCCCGGTCCGGCCCGCACCGGTTCTCGGCCTCCTCTCTGGCCTATTCGATCCCTCCTCAGGTGCTTCCTGTCATCCTCTGGCCCCTCCGGCCCCACCTCAGGCCCCGTCCAGCCCCCGCTGTCCTCTCCGCCCCTGCTAGGCGACCCAACAGCCTCATCCGGTGTTCTCCATCCCCCGGCAGGCGATCTGCCTTCGCGGCCGTCATCCCGACCCTCCCTTCCGCCTCGCTTCCGCACTGCCGACCCGACACTCACTACTCCTTGAGCAGCACCATGTCGCTTCGCGGCTCGGCGGCTGCCAGCTGCCAGCCCGGCCTCCCGCCCGCTTCCCGGCGGCCGCTCTCCCGGTGGCCCGGCCCGGCCCGACTGCCTGTGCGCCTTCGTCGTGGTCTGCTCTGTCCCCGCTGCTCTCGCTGCGGTCGACGCGCGGGCTCCTGCCGCCCTGCCCTGGCCTCGCCACCTCCCGCGCCTCTGCCGACGCCGCCCGGAGCTCCGGTTCCGCAGCGCCGCGCGGGGGCGGGGCGTCTCTGCGGCAACCAGAGCGTCAGACGCAGCAGTGCGCGCTGACCTCACGCGGGGCGGGGCCTTCCCAGGCCCGCCCCTCCACCCTTAAATGGGCCGTGGCTCCGGGTCCATGTCAGCAGCATCCAAGTTGGACCCAGGCTGGCTTGGCGCTCAGGAAGTAAAGTGACACGTCTTGTGTGAATACTCTTCTTCATCGGGAGCTGCTGTGCCTGTATCCGTGGACGTCGCTGGTGGGTGTGTTGAGAGCCAAGCGTGTCAAAAATAAAATGAGGGAAGTGGAGATTCAGTTCAGCCACGAAGCATTTGCCTAATCTGGATGCACCAAAAAACCCAAAACAAATAAAACTGTGTATATATGTTCTCTAAATACTTGACTCCACAACTCCCCCAGAAAGGTACTGTTACTGTCCTCATTCACAGGTAAGAAGGTGGCGGAAGTTAGATTTGCTCATCACAGCTTATTCATGATGCAGCTGAGATTTTATTTTATTTTATTTTTTGAAACAGGGTCTCACTATGTACCTCTGGCTGTCCTGGAAATCGCTATGTAGACCAGGCTGGCCTTGAACTCACAGAGACCCACCTGCCTCTGGTTCCTGAGTGCTGAGTGTAGCTGAGATTCTTAGTATCTTCGTGTCTTCTCATCTATCCAATAAACATTGGCTGGGGGTCTGCCTTGTACCAGAACTTGTGCTATCCTGGAGAAAGAAAACAAGACTGGTATTATCTTGCCCTTAGGGAACTGGAGATCAAATGGAGAGGAGGCAGATGATGGCTAAAGGGAACAGGCAATTAGAATGAAAGGGGCTGCTAGGCCTGGTGGTACAGGCCTGTAATCCTAGCTACCTAGGAGCTGAGGCAGAAGAATGGAAAGTTCAAAGCCTGCCTGAACAACTTAGTAAACCTGTCTCAGAAATGATAAGGTAGAGGACAGGGATACAACTCAGTGATAGAGCATTTGCCTTGTACGCAGGAGGCCCTAGGTTGAATCCCAGAACCACAGAAAGAAAGGAAAAGCGAGGCAGCAGGCTGTGAGGAGTGAAGTTGTGTTTGATGAGATTACACGAAGGGCAGTTGGTGTGTGTGAGGAACACTGAGGGAAGGCATCCAGAGGACAAACTCTGCACGGCGCTGCGGAGGGGCAGGCGCAGCAGATACGGGTATGCAAAGGCTGGACTCAAGGAGAACAGGGTGCATCTGGGAGGCTTGTCCTAGTCTGTCTTCTGTTGCTGTGGTAAAGACCACAGCCAAAGGGGACTTTGGGAGGAAAGGCTTTATTACATTGTGTTACCAAGGGAAAACAGGGCAGGAACCTGAGGGCAGGAATGAAGCAGAGGCCATGGAGCAGTGCTGCTCACTGGCTTCCTCAACCTAGGACAGGTGAACCCAGGATTACCAGCCCAGGCATGGGGTACACCGCCCCGGGTGAGCTGTGCTCTCCCACATCAATCATTACTCTAGAAAATGCCCCCACAGGCTTCCATACAGACCAGTCTGAAGGGAACATTTTCTCAACTGGGTTCCCTCTGCAGAGATGACCCTAGCTTGCGTCAAGCTGACAAAAAAGCTCACCAGCACAGGACTAGAAGAGGTAACTGTAGTATTGAGTTTGAAGGCTGAAGAGCTGGGAAGGGCAAGGGTCCAGGTGGGTGGTGATGCCGAAGGAGGCCATTTGAGGGTTTCAGCAGTGATACAAGATTTACGGTGTGGAGTTTCCCTCTGAATGTTGGGAGCATGGATGGAAGGAGAGAGGGATGGAGGGGACCAAACACAGGCAAGGGCACCAGTGAGAAGGCAGTGGCGTAAGTCCAGGGAAGAAAAAAAAAGCTGGACTTGTTAACAAACTGGCCAAATGAGCAACAAGTACAGTACTCAGAACTCAGGAAAGGGGTTGACAAACAGGTGGGACTCACTGAGAGGGGGTCCTGGAAAGATATCTGGATGCAATCGTGAAAGAACTACTCGAGATAGTGGCTCAGGAAGGAGCTGGGACCAGTCACCTGGGCGCTCTGAGTGTTACATGCATTCATCAAACCGTAGAGTGAGGAAGGCTAGCTCCAGAAACCTAGGGCAAAGACTGCAAGATTGAGGGAGTGGCCTGCTCCCTGGTCCCCAGCCCTCCAGCACAGGGCTCTTCCTCCTCTATAGTATCAATGGCTAGTTCTCTAGAAAATGCTGGCTCTCTCCAGGAAGTAACCAGATCCTGCCCCCTGGGAACATGCAGTCTAGCTAGGGAGACTACATTTACTTATTCACTCAATAAATATTGATTGAGCACCTGGCCCTGTCCTAGGTCCTTTTCTAGGCACACAAGACACAAGGGACGACCAAGCACACAAGGTCCCTCCCTTGCTGGATGGAGGGGAGCACAATACAAACTTATAGAAGTGCAGAGACCAGTGTGACTCAAGCTGTCCTGGGCGACTGACCGTGGGGCAGCGTTAACAGCATCAGTTAGAGGAGCTGCTGCTCACTAGTGGATGAAGAGCGAAGCATGAGCCGGCAGGGCTGTGCTGCACATGAGGGGAACCCAAAACACAAGACATCGAGGCTGGAAGACGCAGTTCCCCCGGCAGAATGCTTGCCCTACACTTGCACAGTCCCGAGTTCAACTCCCAGGACTACATAAACCAGGTCTGGTAGCTCATGCCTGTAATCCCAACACTTCTGAGGTAGAGACAGGAAGTTTAAAGCCATCCTCTGCTACCCATTCAGTTTGAAGCTAGCCTGGGCTACCTTATCAAACAACAACAACAAAACAAAAAACAAAAAAAAAGGGGGGCTGGAGAAATGGTTCAGCGGTTAAGAGAACTGACTGCTCTTCCAGTGGACCCGGGTTCAATTCCCAGCACCCACATGGCAGCTCACAACTGTCTGTAACTCTAAGAGCTGACACCCTCATACAGACATACATGCATGCTAAACACCAATGTACATTAAGTAAAAGTAAATAAATTAAAAAAAAAAAAAACAAGAAAAAGAAAGCAAACCAAAGGGCTGGAGAGATGGCTCAGCTGGGTTAAGAGTGCTTGCCACTCTTCCAAAAGACTCACCCAGTGCCCATGTCAGGCAGCTAGCAACCACCTGTCACTACAGCCCCCAGGGCGTCTGCTGCCCCTGACCTCCTCCTGCTCCTGCACTAACACACACAGATACAGACACAGCACATAACTCAGAATGCTGGATGTGGTGGTGCACATACCTTTAATCCCAGCACTCGGGGAGGCAGAGGCAGGCAGAGCTCTGAGTTTGATGCCAGCCTGGTCTCCAAAGCAAGTCCAGGACAGCCAGAGCTATATAGAGAAACCCTGTCTCAAAAAACATACAAAAATAAAAATTAAAAAAGTCTTTAAAGAAAATATAAAGGCCAGGTGTGGTGACACACACCTTTAGCCATGGCGCTCAGAAGAGAGGCGGTGGCGGGCGAAGCTCTGAGTTAGAGGCTGACAATACCCCAACAAACACATACAGTCATCAGAAAGTGCGAGGGTCAGCTTTCCCCACTCCTGGAGCTCACAGACATCAACCTGAAGTAGTTTGTGACAAAGGCGAGGATGGATGACAGCAGAGTCAGGGCTGGTTAAGATTTGAAGAGGTAGCCAGCCAGGCAGTGGTGGTGCACGTGGGAGGCAGAGGCAGGCAGATCTCCGAGTTTCAGGCCGGCCGCTCTACAGAGTTCCAGGACAGTGAGTTCTACACAGAGAAACCTGTCTCCAAGAAACAAAACAAAACAAAAAAGATGAAGGCAATTTGAGCTGAAGAAGACCGGAAAGGATGGTCTCGGTAGAGGAAAAGCGTGGGAGGCACTGGCTTGCCTCTGAACAGCGCCTAGTGGTCACAGTGAGTTGAAAATGAGGTGGCGGGCTGGAGAGACGGCTCAGCGGTTAAGAGCACCAGCTGTTCTTCCAGAGGTCCTGGGTTCAATTCCCAGACAACCACATGGTGGCTCACAACCATCTGTAATGGGATCTGATCCCCTCTTCTAGGTGTGTGAAGACCTATCACTCATACATAAAAACAGATAAATAAAGATTTTAAAAATTTATTTAAAAAAGACAATGAGGCGGCCTATAGACCCCGAGCTTGGAACTTTGAGTGCCACTTGAGAGGCTCCCTCATTGCTTCCTTACAGAGGGAGCCTTAAGGAAGTCGTGACTGACAGTCCAGGTTCAGCTTGGGAGGCTTGCCACCTCTCTCCAAGGATTTCAAAGTCTCCAAGACAGGTTTTCCCAGCCCTCCACACTTGCTTCACTGTGTCTACTCAGAACACAGGTTCTGTCTTACAAATCTGCAGTGCTGTTATCAGCAGGATGAATCATTTCTTCTCTCTCTCAAAGATTTATTTATTTTCATATGCACTACTGTCTGGCCTGCATGTATGTCTGTGTGAGCGTGTCAGGTCCCCCAGAACTGGAGTTAGCAGACAGTTGGGAGCTGCTACGTGGGTGCTGGGTATTGAACCGGGTCCTCTGGAAGAGCAGCCAGTGCTCTTAAACACTGAGCCATCTCTCCAGACTCCATCTTTACTTGTTAATTGTCATTATTATTAGCCTTACAGGGGGCAGCCCAATGGCTCTGTGAGTTAAGGTACTTGTGGCCAAGCCTGACAGTTGATTCCAGGTTGTCCTGTGAATTCCACACGTGTACCATAGAAAGTGCGAGCGTGCGTGTGTGTACGTGTGCCCCAATGTGTTGCGCATGGAGGTCAGAGGACAACGTGTGAAAGTCCTCTCCTTCTACCGTCTGGGTCCCTAGGATTGAACTCATGCTGTCAGGTTTAGCAGCAAGCCACTACATATTCTATACTCACAGAATCAGCTCACGAGGCTTATTTTTCCTTCCTTCCTTTTCTTCTTTCTGGTACCAAGGATATGAAACCCTGGTTTCTTTATTCCTCTCTCTCTCACTCTCCAAGACAGGGTTTCTCTGTCCTAGAACTCGCTCTGTAGACCAGGCTAGCTTCAAGCTCATAGAGATCCATCTGCCTCTGCCTCCAAAGTAATGGGATTATAGTAATGTGCCACCATGGCCCAGCATGACAGGTTCTCACCATGTAGTCCAAGTTTGCCTTGAACTGGTTTTGAGGCCCAGAAGTTTTAGTTTCTTAAAATACTCACTTATGTTAATCTGTTTTTGTTTTAATCCCGAGTGTGGGATTTTGGTTTGGGCTTTAATTTGCCCACAGCTGATAACTCTCTCTCGTGCGGGGTGTGGTCTTTGCCAGCTGGTGACATCCTGCCTTGTAGGACATGGGCACGGTCGAGGGCGCTAAGGCTATGAATGAGGGCCCAGAAGGAGAAAGGGCTGTGCGCGGTGGTGACAAGCGGCAGGCTGAAGAGACCAGAGACGGAGACCACCGCCTGGAGACAGACGACAGAGAGAAATAGTTCAACACGGTGGCTTGGAAGAGACTGCTGGCTCGCTGTGCCCACTGTTAACAAAGATTGGTATAACCCCCAAAAGAACGCTGACCTGAAACAGCCATGAGAAGTAACAGGGTCTGCAACCCATTTCCCTACTAACCTTCTTTCTCCTACCTAGGGTTGGGGGTTGTAAAGGAGAGGCTTTAAGGAACCCCAATAAAAAAGAGTTTATAGGGGGCTGGAGAGATGGCTCAGCGGTTAAGAGCACTGACTGCTCTTCCAGAGGTCCTGAGTTCAATTCCTAGCAACCACGTGGTGGCTCACAACCATCTGCAATGGAATCTGATTTCTTCTTCTGGTGTGCATGAAAACAGTGTTCATAAAATAAATAAATCTTTAAAAAAAAAAAAAAAAGAGTTTATATAACAGGTGTGGTGGAGCACCCCTGTAGTCCCAGCACTCAGAAGGCAGGAGTAGGCAGATCTTGTGAGTTCAAGGCCAGCCTGGTCTACAGAGCAAGTCCAGGACAGCCAAGACTACACAGAGAAACCCTGTCTCCAAAACAAACAAAGAACAAAACAAACAGGCTTTCCTGGGCCTGTGATCCTTCTGCCTCAGGAGTGCTGGGATTATCCAGCTCCAGTTTTTAATTTCTTCATTTTATCTTTTCTGCAAATCATAGTCCATTTTTCCTATCTAAATTTATAGTGTTGTATTTCTTTTTGTTTTGTTTTCTTTTTTGAGACATGATTTTTCTGTGTAGCCTTGGAGGAAGACCAGGTTGACTTCGAACTCAGAGGAATCTGCCTTTCTCTGCCTCCCAAGTGCTGGGATTAAAGGCATGGGATACCCACTGTGCCCAGCTCAGGGTTGTCATTCTTTTAGAGAAATTTACTAAATAAAATCCCTGTGCTTGTTTGTTTTACACTTTTTTGTTGTTTGTTTTGTTATTTGGACAAGGTTTCTTTGTGTAGCCCTGGCTGTCCTGGAAATCTCTTTGTAGAGGGATGGCCTCAAACTCACAGCATTCTGCCTGCCTCTGCCTCTAAGTGCTGGGACTAAAGGCGTGGGCCACCACCCCTGGCTGTTGAACACACTTTGAGTTATGAGGTTTTTCTTGTTTTATGTGTTCTATGTATCACAGCCTAACCCTCAAACCTACTGTGTAGATAAAGGTGACCTTGATTTTTCTAATCCTGCTTCCTCTGCCTCTTCAACGCCAGGATTGCAGCCAGGAACCACCATACCAGGTCTATGGAGGTTGAACCAGGGCTTTGTGCTGGGCAAGTGCTCTATCAACTGAGCCACATCCCTAGACCCTGAGCTGTGTTTCCTACATCACTTTCACCCTAGCAAGTTTGGGTCACCCAGGCACAGGCCCTCAGATGCAAGGACCATGCTCCAACCCCTACAACCCCCTCCCAACAGCCATCCCAGGTCCTGATGCCTCAGAGTCCCAGCCTAACACTTTGCTCCCCGTGTGACACTGGGCATGTAACCCCCTCTGTGCCTCAGCCTCTTGTCTGTAAGATGAGAACAATGCCAAACGCCTGCATAATGGTTGAGCAGGGACTCGTTAAAGGAGCTTTGCAGCTTTAATGTGGTGTTGCAGCACGTGGTATGAGTCCATGTTGTTTTAACTACTTTATTATTCTCTGTGTACGTACATTACGTACCACTGTGTGCCTGGCACAAAGTAGGTCAGAAAGGGGCATCAGATCCCCCAGAACTGGAGTTACAGACAGCTGTGAGTGATCTTAACCACTGGGCCAACTTTCCAACCCAGAGCACTAGCTGCTCTTCTAGAGGACTTGAGTTCAGTCCCCCGAACCCTTGCCAAGGAAGTCATAACTGTTTGTAGCGCTACAGAGTCTGCTGCTCCAGCCTCTGAGTGATTGCACTCACATGAACATACCCCTGCGTACACACACACACACACACACACACACACGCACACACGCTCACACACTATTTTAAATGCTTTTATTGATCATGTGTACGCGTGCGAGCCTGAGTATATGCAGCACACCACGTGTGTACGGGTGCCTGAGGAGGCCAGGAGAGAGTGCTGGATCCCTCAGATCAGGACTTACAGGCGGTTGTAAGCCACCTGATACGGGTGCTGGGAAATGAGCCTGGGTCCTTGGCAAGAGTAGCATGTGTTCTTAGCCACTGAGCCATTTCTCCCACTCCTACTTTTCGAGACAGGGTTTCTCTGTGTAGCCCTGGCTCTCCTGGAACTTGCTGAACCATCTCTCCACCCCCATCGTCTGCTTTCTTACTGTTTCTCTCTTCCGGGAGCCTCCCCTTTCCCTGTTAAACGTCTTTGCTCCTGGACTCCAGGAGGGGTTTTCTGTCATCCTTTCTTTGCAGCTGTCTTCTTTCTGCCTGTCTCCCTCCCCCACTACCCCTCACACTCTTCACCTTTGTGTCTCTGGATCTCAAGGCTCAGCGCCCTGAGTTTCTCCTGGCCGGCGGGCCCCTGATACCACCTCAGTCACAGCCACACCTGTAACCCATCTCTGCATATCTCGGGGAGACTATGTTTCACTGTTTCCATCGTCTGCCCTGCCTCTGCCTACCTGGCTAGCGGGTGCTGATCTCCTACCTGTTTCCCGACAACTCCTTCTCTCTTTGGCTTCTCTCTCTGTAGCCCAAGCTGGCCTCAAACTCATGATCCTCCAACCTGCTCCTCCTGCCTCAGCTGCTGGGATCACAGGCAAGCAGCAACCACCAGGCCTAGCTCAGCTTTTGTTTTTGTTTTTGTTTTTTTTTTTTTTATCCCCACAGCATTTACTGGGCAGCTATTTCACACTGGAGCCACCTGAGTCCCTGGAGGTATTGCGATGACCGAGGCAGGGCTCCTGCCAGCTCTCAGGGAGCACTCATTCTGGTGGCAGTGGAGACACCAAAGAGCAGAAACTCAGCAGTGTGGCTCTTAGTGTGCCTGAGGTCCTGAGTTCTGTCCCCAGAACTACAAAATGAAAACAAATAACCCCTATTACCCATGACTCTGGCTGCCCAACTGGTCCTACTGGGCCCTCGGTAGGCCTGAGGGCAAGCTGCTGAGTGTCCTTGACAAATCTGTGACTAAATATGGACTTTGTGTCCCTCAGGAATTAGATTCAAGTGTTTAACCCATTTGCTGTTTCTGAACAGCATTCATTCTGAGCCAGGCCGGGAGAGAAGTGATTAAAAACAAGACAGACAAACAAAAAAGCCGTAGGATGCTGAAAGAAGGCAACATTTGCTGGGCCCAGTAGGATGAGCTGGAAGCTCTGGTGTCCCATGATGCAAGAAGACCCATCACCTCACCCTCTCCTCTCACTTTGGCCTATAGAGGGTTAAAACAGATCTGAGCAGCTGTGATATTTTTATTTAAAAACTTATTTTGAGCTAACATTTGAAAAGGGTGATATTTTATGTAAAACTCAGGATTCCCTGCTTCTCAGGGGAAAAAAGTATCAGGAGTTCCGGCCCCATGGGACACATTCCACCTGCCAATAACTGGCATCTCTGTAAGTGGGGGCTATAGCCCCCAAGCCCTGGTTCGCCCTTGAGGTGGAGGTCAAAGTCAAGGGCTCCTGTGTGGCTGCAGAGCTTCCCTGTGTGGCTCTGTTTGTGAGTGAGAAAGAGATGTCTTCCTTATCTCCATGGAGGGCAGGGTGGAGGTGGGGAATGGTAGCAACAGGACAGGGGCAGGGCCAGAGTGCACCCTCCAAGCTCGCAGGCTTCACCTCACATCCTAGCTTCTCTACCCTGTGTGTCCTCCTGAGTGGGCCCATCCCTGACTGCCCCTCTGCTGAGCTTCCGTCCCCTCCACACTAGCAGCGAACCATACTTCACACTAGAGGTAGGGCGTCTGAGCAAGAGCCGTGTGATCCAGACAGAGACACGAGGGAGCCTCGAAGGAGTTCTTAGTCATTCTCAGCATACGTTTATTAGGTGCTTACTGTGTGCCAAGGTGTACGCTGGGGGCTAGGAACAGTAGAGTGACAGGGAAGGGCCAAGGTCAGCTGCTGAGTTATCAGTGACACTACTTGACCCTGCTGAGTGTCAGAACACACCCTCAAGCCTCATCCTAAGGCTTGGGCTGGGCCTTTGCTATGGCCTGGATTCTGACCTGCCTAGATGCTCCTAGGCAGAAAGGGACACAAGGGCCTTCCCTCCTCTGCCTCCTGTTACAGCCGAGGCACCCCACACATGGCTCTCGACAGACACACCAGAGCATCTCAACAAGAGCACGTGCGTGCCCACATACACACAGACGAGTTACAGCATGAGGCACCCCTATACATGGCTCTCGACAGACACACCAGAACATCTCAGCACCCGCACACACGTGCACACACGTTCTACAGCACACAGGCACCCGTATACATCTTTCTCAACACAGAAACACACATACACACGCACACATAAAGGAAGGCCTGGCCAAGCAGTCATTTAAAAAGGCAGTCATTAAAAAAGTGCTACCCCAGGACTGGGACTTTTGACCCCAAGACTCTTTGGCCAAGCCTCTTACCAAAATGTCAAAGTCAGAAATAGAAAAGTGGGCAACTGGGCAAAGAGAACGTAAGGCTTCACTGTAAGAGAGGTTCTGAGGGGACTGAGGTCAGCAGGACTGACCTTCCCACTGACCTGGCCACCAGACCAGCATGGTCAGCCACCTGAAGTCAGTGTCCGTCTGGAGGGAAGGTGCCTTGTTCCCTGTGCCGTCCGCCTTTCTCCAGGGCCCCGGCGGGTGTTTCTGCTGCATGCCACACACACTGCTGTTGGTGAGATCTACCTACAGGTCCCCTTAGCCACACCGGGAGAGCACAGACGCCTCCACTCCATGTGAGAAAATGACACTCAAGCTTTCCCTGAGAATGCAGTCTGGCTGCTCATGTGTGTGCTCCCCTCAGAGAACAGTCAAGGTTAGGGAGCTGCCCACAGTCCTGTCTCGGATCTGTCCATCTAAGAATGACTCACTGCAGGGACCGAGGCGTGCAAGATTGTGGTTGTTAGCAGGGCCACAATGCCTTCCTCACAGAGGACACTGACACTCAACACTCAAGAGGCTTGTCCACACCCTGGGCCTCAGGGCAAATTAGAGCATGGGGATATCGTCTTGAGACCCTCAACCCAGGGAAAGGGCTACAGCCTGAGGATAAGGAAGTCCCCCTGGAATATTTGGGTGCTCTTGTGTTCACAGCCCATGGTCTATGTCTGAGGGAAGTAGCCAACACACTTGGGCTGGGCCCTTATCAGTTATCATGTCACAGATAAGGGCCTCACTGTCCCGAAGCCCAGGAGAACCTCTTCCCGCCCTTCACGGGCAACAGCATTGAGACTATAAGGGCCCTGCTCTGTGGAGGCAGCTGCAGCGCTCTGAGCAGGGTTGTGCTGCAATTCAAGGCGTGTGTCCCACCATCCCTGGCCAGCTATGCACACGCTTTCAGCAGAACTTCTTGGGGGACAGACACAGGAGGTAGCCCCTCCCCCCCAAGGGCCTTTACTGTCTTTGGTTCCAACTTCATGATATGTCCCTAGCACGGAGGCGCTCTGTCAGTCAGCACCTCCTCAAACTACTTTCCTCCCCACGGGGGCGCCTCTGGGAGGCACCAGAATCAAGCCAAGACACAGGTGAGACAGGCAGCCTGCCATCTGTTTTTGTTGTCTTAGAACACAGGAATCTCCTGGAAGCCAGGTTGGCTTCAAACTCACCGTGTGGCCAAGGATGATCTAAACTCATGTCACCACCTTCCAAGTGCTGGGATAACAGGTATGTGCCCCATGCCCAGTGTGATTCAGAGCTGGGCATCAAACGCAGAGCTTTGTGTGAGCTAGGCAAACACACTAACAACTGAACTACACCCACCACCAGCCCCGAAGCCTACAGTCTTAACACTGCAGGACCTTCCAGAAGTATGTCACACATGCAGGGCCACAGCTCAGGCTGGAACATGCCACCCTTTGCCCCCTGGTACTGGCATTAACAGGACCATGCCACATTTCCACAGCTCCACCATTCAGACAGCAATGCAGAAAACATCTTTTTTTTTTTTTTTTCTCACATCCTTATAACACTTGTGTTTTTGTTTGCTTGTTTTTTAAGTCTCATTGAGTAGTCCTGTCCGGCCTGGAACACGTGTGATGTAGACCAGCCTGGCCCTGAACTCAGAGGATCCTCTCGCCACTGTGCCTGATGCTACATGCCTTCTCAGACAGCTGCAATGTTCACGAACGAGGGAGAAGTGTGGTGGGTACTCCCTGTGAAGCAACTGCTCTGACTTTACCTCAGTATACCCTGACATTTGACTAGTCCTTCTCAGAAACAAACCACCAGTACTCTATCACAGACCAGGGTTCCGGGAGGTGGCTTGGAAAACCCAGATCCAGTTCTTTTGGGAAACGGGGCCTTGTCCATGCTAAGAATGAGCTCTACCACCAAGGAACAAGAAGCCCCAGAGCAAGCTACCAGTAGCTCACTGTTGTGGGGTTTATGATTTGAATGTCTGAGCAGACTGGAGCGGAGACTTGGCAGTCCACTAGGACTACAGGGCCCGACCTTGGCCTGGGGGCAGCTCTTGTGTCTGCCCTCACCACATCTGCACACTACTCAGCGGATGACTCCTGTAGTCGCCACGTAACGTAACCCCTGGGTCACAAGGTGACAAGAAACAGTCAAGGCGGCTTCGGGCTTGGCCTGTCTATTTGGAACAGACAGCAGTGAAGGCAGCCCACACTTCTCCAGTCCCATATGCCTGAGGTACGGGGTAGGCAGGGCTTCTCTTTGCCTGTGGCCTTCCCTAGACTTGTCACTCGAAGCCAGGCTTGTCACCAGCAGAACACAAATGGGCTCTGATTACACAGCCCTGGAACTCTCCATGTAGACCAGGCTGGCCTCAGACTCGGCCTGCTTTAGCTTTCTAAGTGCTGGGATTAAAGCATGTGTCACTGTGCCTGCCTTCTCTCCTCTTCCTTCCTGGAAGAACCTCTTGCCCTGTCTTTCCTCGCAGTCAGAAAACAGGCACATACAATGGTAGTCAACCGGTGTGTGAGGAGGGGGCATCCGTTACCAACAGGAAAATGGATTTATTGCTTCATAAAAAGAATTCTGATGAAACTTAAAGAGGAAACCATAGACTTAAAAACCAACTCACCCCTCTTGGCACCCCAAGAGGTCTCAGACAGGGGTTTTAGGGGCCATTAAGGTGAGTGGGCTATTGAGCCAGGCAGGCCAGCTAGGTTTCTCCTACAAAACAGATCCAGGGCCTGAACGCAGTCTGCCAGCAGGGGGCGCTGTAACCACACGGCCATGCACAGAGCTCCATCAGAAAGCAAGGCTGACTGGGTAGGCTTGGCTGGCCTCTGGTCTGGTCCACTGGTAGAGGCAGCTCCCTACCGTAAACACTCACGAACACACTCACCACATAAACACACACCCCTTGGTTACTCACTAATCCTCTTCCCTACTTAGGCTTGGTGCTTCACATCTACCACTCACGGCCTTGTTCCCACCCCAGAAAACAGCTGTGTGTGGGTGGAAGGGTGCCCTTGTGGTGTCCCCTACGTTCCCTTCAGGTTGTAGGCTGGAACAAGGGTGGCAGTAGAGGTGTACTTCCTACTCTGAGGAAGCCTTGCCCACAGCTCTTGAGGCCTTGTGTTAATATTCTGCCCTCCATCCCTTCCTCAGCCTGAGACAGTGGGGCTTCTCTCCACAGGCCTTCAAGGAAAAGACTGGGCGGTGGGGTGGGGTGGGCGTTGGGATTACAAAGGGATAGCACCAACAACAGGAAGCGGGTCCTTCCTTCCTCAGGCAGCCAGACTGGCCTGGGGAGGTGAGGGGCCAAGCGAGGGGAGTGCAGACAGTGCAAGCCTTTGTCTTCAGGTAGGCGTGGTCGGTGGACATGCAGCTCAGGGACAGGTAGTGTGGTCAGAGGATGGCGGCCCCTCCGCTTTGGCAAGAGGCAGAATCCAGATCAGTGAGAGAGAGCCTGCTTGACGGGGGCGGAGGGGTCACCTTGGCTCCAGGTAGAAGCTCCATGGAGAGCCAAGGTCCCGGAGCCCCTGGGGTGACAGCTAGGCTAGGGCAGCCCAGCTTCTGGCAGTGGTTGGTTCACTGTCCTGGGCCCTCTCCTGTCCCCCCACACCAGCACTTCACAGCCGGGGGCCAGGGCTTTGTGAGGAAGTGTGGGCTCCAGTGTAGCAAAGGGTAGGATCCAGGGAGCTCACGGGATCCTCTGGGGTGGGGAGATGACAGCACTCAGTCACTGAAGCTCAGGCAGAAGGCCGCAGCTGAGGCGGTGGGCACTACACGAAGGCCTCCCGGTTGGAGGAGCCGTTGATCTTAAGGAACAGCTTGCTGTCTTCCCTCTTCTGTTGAAGCTGCCTCTCCAGCTGCCGCCGGTAGCAGATCAGGTAAAGTGGCAGGCAGAAGCCCAGCATGCTCATGATGAGCAGACCCACGTTCACCTGGGGAGGTGGGGAGGGGGCTGTCAGGAGCTGTATTCACCACAGGGCAGCACCCTCCCTCCTGGGCACACAGGTTTGGGGGAAGGAGGTAGTCAGGAGAAAGGAGTGAAAACTAAACAGGAAGTGTCAAGAGGTCTCAGGGCTGCCGCTCCACATTCCAGTACCTAAATGTCCCAGTGCTCCAAGTGCCGCTCAGCAGCCTTCAGGGACTGCGCTGGGACCGGACAACTCATGTCTGCATTAGAATGATGGGAAGCCTGGGATCCACCCCAGGATCAGATCCAGAGAGGCCATTTTTATCTCCTCCTGCCTAGCCACCACTCACAAGGAACCCCTGATTGGGTTCTGTCCAGCATTCCCACACTGCCTGCTGTCCTTGGGCTCCACTTCCCAGGAACAGAATGAAGAGACACCCTGACCCTTCTTACCCACAGAGGGTCTCCTCCAAGAGGACCCATCATGGCCAGAAACAGCGGCTGCTGCAGGAGAGCAAAGAGTGCGCTGACCAAAGACTGCAGTCCTGTGAGGCTACCGAACTGTGTGGAGGGGTACCTGTTGGGGCAACGAGACCTGTCACAGCCAATGCCATTCACTGGCTTCCCCAACCCCTCACTGGCATGGCTCAGGCCTGCTGGTAAGCAGGGCTACACCACCCGTGCCTGCTGGGAGAGCCTCTGGACGGTTGGGTGCTGATCCCTGAGGCTCCAGACTGCTCAGATGTGCCCTCCGTCTGTGGGTGTAGGGCTGAGCAGGGTGGAAAGTGTGGTGCCAGCAAAGTCTGTGGCTTGGGAAACACTCCCGGGAAGCAGGTTGGAGGCTGAGCATGGCTCTGCTGTAATCCCCCTCCAGGAGCATTGCACAATCACGGAAACTCAGCATCACAACTCTTGCCCGACTCCCTCACACCCTGCCAGGGCAGCCACAACTTCCTCTAGGACTGGGGAGGGCCACGCGGGGGACAGAAGGACCTGGAATGACCCCTGTAGGGTGCTGCTTAAAGAGGGAAGGAGTTCTGGGCCTGATCTCGGGGAACATCAGACTCCGTTGCCCAAGAAGTACAAGGGAGTCCTAAGCTAGGATAGGATAGGCTGCGCTCCTGTCACAGACAGTGGGCTGAGCCCTGGGCAAGAGAGGCAGGAACAGCTGTGTAGCTTCTTGGAAAAGACACAGGCTTCACTGCAGCCAGGGTCCAAGGGGGTTATGGCCAGCGAATGGCCCTTTGAAGCCCTGAGTGAGGACAGCCCAGGATTTCTGGGTCCAGTTATCCATGACACTGCCCCTAAATACACTTTAGTATTTAGCTTCAGGCAGCCAGAACCCAACCCTGTCCCAGTGAGCAGCCAGGGATGATGCCAGGAATTGGCTGAGTGGCAACCCCTAGGGCTCAAAGGCACTGACCCAGCTGAGAGACTGACTTCGTGTTAAATGCCAAGGCTTGTGGGCACCCAACTGTCTGCCTACCAACTCACCTGCTGTCAGGTGTGTATAATGGCCTTTTTCTGATACAGAGCTGAAACAGCCCTTGATGCCAATGAAACACAACAGAAGGGAAGGACAGGCCAGCTCCAGGGTCTCGGTGCCACCTGCGGTTCCCTTGGGTTAGGGCCACCACACCACCCAGAGCCCCCGGGGACTTACACAGCAGCATATAGGCCCCCTACGGCAGAGTGGATGAATCCTCGCACAATTGTGTGCAGGACGAAGGAGAAGATCTGAGGGAGGGAAGGAGGGAGAGCAGAGTGTGAGCAAGAAAGCCTCCTCTGTCCTTTCCCTCTGGCTCCTGGAGACACAGGCACAGGGACTAGAGCCAGCTGGATGGCCCCAGCTCTCAGAGCAGAATTTCCTGTCCTTTGGTTTTGTTCTGTTTGAAACAGGGTCTCACTGTGTAGCCCTGGCTGCCCTAGAACTCTCTATGTAGACCAGGATGGCCTCAAACTCACAAGGATCTGCCTGTCTCTGCCTCCACAGTGCTGGGGTTAAAGTTATGCACCACTATGCTGGGCTGTTAATAAAACTTTATATCATTAAAAAAAATTTAGAGTCATAGCCTGATAACCACAAGTTTTTATATATATACATAAATTTTACTTTTGTGTATCAGTGTTTAGCCTGCACACACACATATATATATATACACACACCCCATAAGTGTATCTTGTGCCAGAGTCCAGAAGATGGCTCTAGATTCTTTGAAACTGGAGTTACAATGTAAGTCACCAGGTGGGTGCTGGAAACTGAACCCAGGTCCTTGCATAGCAGCTTTCCTTGCTCTTAGTCACTGAGCCATCTCTTTAGGTCTGTCATTTTTTAAACTGTGAGCTGGCTCAGCAGTTGAGAACACCGCCCGCTCTTCCAGAGGACCTGGTTCAATTCCCAACAACCTGGCAGCTAACAACTGTCTGCAACTCTAGTTCTAGGGGGCCTAATGCCTTCTTCTGGCCTCTGTAGGCACCAGCACACACTTAGTACACACACACACACACACACACACACACATTTAAAAAAACTTTTGTTGTTGTTGTTCTGAGACAAGGTTTCTTTGTGTAGCCTTGGCTGTTTGGGACGCACTTTGTAGACCAGGCTGTTCTCGAACTCACAGCAATATGCCTGCCTCTGGGTCCCTGAGTTCTGGGATTACAGGCGTCTGCCACCATTTCTGGCAACTTTTTTCTTTCATGTTTATTTACTTACTTATTTCGTTGTTTTTTTTTTTTTTTTTCTTCTTCAAGACAAGGATTTTTCTGTATAGTCCTGGCTGTTCTGGAACTTGCTATGTAGACCAGGCTGGCCTTAAACTCCTACCTCTGCCTCCCAAGAACTGGGATAAACTTTTTTCTTTAAAGAATTACACTTACTTATTTTGTACATGCAGATGTCGGTGACTCTGTATGGGGGTCAGAGGACTTTTGGGAGTTGGTTCTCTCCTGGCATGTGGGCCCCAGGGTCAAGGTCACCAGGCAAATACCTTCCACTTCTAAATCACCTTGCTGACCCTTTCATGAATTTTGTAGCCAGTTGCTAAGCAGTCATTATGAAAATTTTAATTACATAAACTTACAATTAAGAAATTAAGTTGACTATCTTAAAACAAAGGTAATGAATGCTCCAAGTTTATCATTTCCTAATTCTTTCCCTAGTCTTACTACTGAATGTTCTGAGGGCATCTTCATGTGTGTGTAGAAGAGAAATACCATATTGTTGTGGTTTACTGCGAACCCTTCCAAACTCCACACCCACTGGTGTTTTATTGAGAGTTTAAAGCCAGCCATGATAACAGTATTCATACAAGGGACACTGCAAACAAATGCACAAAAGCACAACATGCCCTTACCAAGCTCTACAAATCTGTATTTTATGTGAGGACTTTTCCAGAGGTCTCCCTGCCTGGTGATCCAGGCTCTACTTACCGACTGTCAAGTGGCTGTCTTCACCTGCCTGGCAAATCTCTATTACAGGGTTTTCAAGGCCTCTTTCTGGGAAGGCCCCCACTGGCCGACCCTGAGAGGCACTGGCCATCTTACTCTGCCAGAGGGCCCTGTGTTTGTCCTTAGTTTCTTTCATCTTGCATTAGCATCGAGGACCTGCTCTCAGGAATGTGGGTGGTAGAGGGCCCAGGGCTACCCTGGCAGGCTTGAAAGCTCATGCAGCTGTGGATTTATACAGGCTCTGTCTCTGCCTTCACAACTGGCCTTCAGAGAGACTGTCTTCCACTGAGCATCTTCCCTCTGTTAGACGAGATGGTCTGGACAAAGGTCCTTGCGGCTCTTTCGCTGGTGCAAGTCTCCAGTGGTTTATCAGGTGCGCACACCCAGTGCTAGCACATACACGTTTCAGCACCTGTGGGTGAGCACACCTGTGTGCTCAACACAGCTCAACACCTGGCACCTTGTAAACAAAGAGCCTCTTCGTTTCTTCCTGGAGCTGGCGTGAGACATCGCTGCACTTCGGCTGCACCCAGTGGGACGCCCAGGAGCCTCTCACGTGCGCCCTTCACCTTGTAAACTAGGGCTCTGGGCCTAAGCAGACTGCTACAACATTTTCACAGACCAAAGGGTGGGGCCCAGGCAGGTGCAAGTCTACTTGGCCTACAAACTCTATCAAGTCAGGTTTCAAAAACTCAGAACTCTTGTGCAAGGCAAAGCATGGTGGTGTGCTCTTGTAATCCCAGCACTTAAAGGGCCGAGGCAGGAGAATCAAGTCTGCGGCAAGCACAGAAAGACTCTGTCTCAAAAGACAAAAGAAATCTTGTATAAAGGAGTTAAGCCTTTGAACCCTGACACCACGCCAGGATTGGTCACTCTGTGTTCCCTCCAGGATTATAGCCATGTGGACACTGCTGTCTCTGCCACTAAGAGAGCTGGGGTTAAAAGCTTGTGTCACCACACTCAGCCTCAGACAAAACCTCTTTAGACTGTCAAGATTTCAACGTCTGAGAAAATGCAAAATCACACAGTTCCGGGAAGCAGATGGTGGTGATACCCATAGCACACCAGCTGCCTAAAGACAGAGAAGAACAATGTGCCTTCTTGGAGAAGAGTCCAGAAAAGCTGACCTTCATAGCTCACCCTTTGCTTCAGTCCATAGCTGGGGAGTGGAAGAGGCTCAAGCAGACCGCCAGCAAACACTGGCAGCTGGCCAAACTGAACGAATGATGTCACACGCACGCGTTAGCCTCTAAACACCTCTCATCTGCGTCCCTCTCCCCAGACCTACCTGTAGAGGCAGATTAGGAATGAGGCAGGTGACCCCAAAGCCCACGAGCAGCACATTTGTGAAGGCAAAGGCGCGCATGGCGTTAGTGACTTTCTGAATCTGCCTGTCTCGTTTGGGCTTCTTCTCCCCTCTGTGGAGAAAGCACACACAGAACTTAGGCTGTGGGGGTGCTCCCTGGAGGAAGGTGGGCCTTCCCCAGTGATCCCAGGCCACTCAACCCCATCTCAGAGCAGTACTAGGGATGCTCTCTGGCCTGCCATCTCAGATGCTGGTTCAAGCGGAGGCTCGCACCGCCGAGAAGACAGCTTCACCCCGCAACCCTGCTCAGCGAGCTCACTGACGGCGGGGGGGGGGGGGGGGAGCAGAGTGGGTCCCAGTGAGGATGCAGCAAAGCCTCACTGCACCCATATCTTGCAGGAAGCTGGTAATAAGCCAAATACGAGCGTGAGTTGGTTTCCCCTTGGAGGGCAGGATAGGGTGAGGGGAAACAAACACAGAGCAGATGGAACCAGGATGGCAGATAGCCTTTTGGCTCTAGGGCCTAACCTAGATAACAGAGAGTCTCTGTAATTATTTCCTCGTGGATTAACTATTACTGATTCCAGCCACACCACCCACACTGAAACCCCATGGATGATCACAAGAACGGATGGCAAATGTTCAAAAGAGGGCAGCAATTTGCAGTTCCACCACTTTCTAAGTATACCACCTCTGAGAGCCTCAGACATCCAGCCCTGGTCCCCTCATCTGTGAAATGGGTACAGCACCAACACACGCTCCATCACAGTACCAAGCTGAAGTGAGACACTGTATGCGAAGTGCTTGGCATTGGGCCTGACACAATAAATACGGGCCTGTCATGAGATGGGCGTTGGAGAAAACAGCATTTAACTCATCCTCTGATCTTAGGGCCTAGCCCTTTCACAAAGCAGGCCTCCAGAGCCCTGCTTAATCTTCATAATCAGCACATCATTAGCATGTTTGGTTAGAGAAGCTGACAACCTCAGTGAGTGGAATGACCCCAGCCTCCTAGAGTGGCTTGTGCCAATGATGTGAGTGGTCCTGCGTTTCCCTCTGCTTCCATCTGTATCACTGTCTCCCAAACTTCATCACATCAGAAAATTCCACGGAAGCAGGAACAACGTGTTCTGAACTGGCAAGGCTCCTGAGCACACCTCCTGCTCCTCCTGCCCGCCAGGCCCCGAGTAAGCAGGCTGTGGCCTACGTACTGAGCGGTGTCTTTCTCCTCAGGCTCCTCGGAAGTCTCTTCACACTCTTTCAGCCTCCAGTCCATGATGTAGCCGATGACAGGCGCTGTCAGCAGGCAGAGCAGCTGGAGTGCACCGAAGATGGACGTATAAAGGGCAACTGGGAGGGAGATGGCACGTCACGGGGGCTCCAGACACCGCCCTGGGGACCAGCTTCAGTGGGGTCTGCAGGTGCTCAGGGGTCTGCCTTGGAGCCCCTGGTCGCTATGGGTTGAAAGGAACCTACAGATCTTAACCTCTGAACTCAAAGCTGGAACAAAGGCCAGTTTTCTGCTCCAAACCTCTACGGCTTCCCCTGAAACAGCTAATGAAATCCAGTATGTCACAATGACCCCCACAGTCAAAGTTTCAGGAAGTCACTCTGACTGGAAAACCACAAGATCACCGATGCCCATGACTGGGGCTTTATATGTGACTAACCATCCTTTTCTGTCCCCAGAATTGTACCAGGAAGGCACCCTGTTCACAGGGACTCTGACGTCAGGGTTCCCATCTTCAAAGAGACTTACAATTATAGGAGGGCGGGGATGAAAAATAGTTGACCGCTAAATGCTCCACCCTTACCCCACCAGTTTAGTCAAAAGGGATGTTTGAAATCTGAGGCAAGAAGTCTCTGGGCTGAGCAGACAGTACTGAGGGTGTTGCAGTTCCCCTAGGGACCACCCCCCTGCTTACCAGTTGCCATCACTTCATCGAGAAAGCAAAGGTGGGAAGGCAGAAAGGAGAGAGGTCAGCGACAGGAGTCCAAACAAGAAGGAAAGGGGCTAGCTAGTTGTTGGCTACCTAACGACACACACCCCACTTCCCACGAGACCCCAGAGCACTCAACAAAGGCCTTGCCCACTCCAGCTCTGGGGTCAGATGTGTGAGAGAGCCCAGCCTAGCTGATATTCTCCTGGCTGCTGGTTACTCATCACGGGCAGGCTGGTGAGTCAGGTCTGTGGCCCTAGCCAGGCACCATGATGGGGAAGTGGCATGCTGAAGGCAGAAGGCCTGGCAAAATCAAGAATTCTACCATGTGGCCCTGTGGGAAAGCTTCTCTGTCACTGTTACCTCCTGCTGCACTCAGAGAGAAGGAAAGGTCAGAGGATCGGTGCCAGGCACACTGTCACCTGACCCCACAGCTCTCCCTAGACAGCCAGTCTTCTTCCCTTACCAAATCCCTGGGGGCTGGAGACACAGGGGCAGAGCCCTGTCCACTATACCCCAGACTCCCTCTCCTGATCCCCTCTACTTCTTGAAGTTTATCAATGTTTTTTTTGTTTGTTTTGTTTTGTTTTGTTTTTTGAGACAGGGTTTTCTCTGCATGGCCCTGGCTGTCCTGGAACACACTCTGTAGACCAGGGTGGCTTTGAACTCACAGAGATCTGCCTGCCTCTGCCTCCCAAATGCAGGGATTAAAGGCATGCACAACCACTGCCTGGCTCTCCCCCCCCCCCCAAGATAAGGTCTCACTGTGTAGCCCAACTGGTCTCAAAATCATAATCTTCCTGCTTCAGTCTGCCTAGTGTCTGAGATTGCAGAAGTGTATCAGATGCCCATCTTTTTTTCTGTTTTGTTTTTTCAAGACAGGATTTCTCTGTGTATCTCTGGTTGTACTGGAACTCACTCTGTAGACCAGGCTAGCCTCCAACTCAACTTTGCCTCTGCCTCCCAAACGCTGGGATCAAAGGAGTGTGCCATGCAAGCTTCACACCCTCGGTCAGCCTCCGAAATCAACAGGAGACTTCCACGTGAGCAACAACCAGCATCTTTACCTGATGAGCTCATCCTAGTGAAAGGCTTTTATTTGACTGAAATACCAGAAGACTAAGCTGGGTATGATGGTAATGCCAGTACTTGGCTGAGACAGGAGGATCACCTCCTGTCTGAAGGTGACCTCGTCTACCAAACAACTTCCATGCCAGCCTAGGCTACTGCCTCTCAAAAAAAAAGAAAGAAAAGGAACGATGTGGTCCACACTGCAGTCAGAGCTACAGCACACTGAAGTAGGAGGTGCCTCGAGAGTCTGGGGAAGCGGCAGGAAAGGCCACCCAGGCACACTCTCTAACTCACACAGGCCTCCAATATGCTCCGTAACCTCAGATGGCTTTGAACATCCTATCTTCCTGCTCCTACCTCTGGAGTGCTGGGTGTAAAGGTACTCGGCACCGAGCCGATTTCTGTGGTGTGCTGTCGCGCATGCTAAGAGAGCACTCTCCCAACTGAGCCACATTTCCAGTCCAAACCCCATGTAGTTTTAAAAGAAACGTTCCAGGGTTATAAAGTTGGGAGATTACAGCTGGGTAGTGGTGGCACACTCCTGTGATCCTAGCACTCAGGAGGCAGAGGCTGGCAGATCTCTGTGAGTTCAAGACCACCCTGGTCTTCAGAGGGAGTTCCAGGATAGCCAGGGCTACACCGAGAAACTCAGTCTCAAAAAAAGAAAAAATAATAATAAATAAAAAAGAAACAAAACAAACAAACAAAAAAGCTAGGAAAATATCTTTAGACAAAGCTAAGGGTCATTTTCTCCTGAAGGACCCCGAGGCCATTACTGTGGCCTCATCATGATTTTCTTGCTCATTACATTCAGCATCCTTCCACTTTCTCTCCCCCACGGAGAAGCCAGAAGGTGCCTGAAGGTGAGAGCAAGCCTTCCTGTCCCTGCGGAAAACTGGTATTTGGCTCCTTGCAAGGACTGCATTATCTTTCCCTCAGTAAAAACAAGTTAGCCAACAAAAGAAAGTGGCAGGCTGGTGAGACGGAGAGGATTTGCTGAGTGTGTCTGTGCTGCCTGCTCTGGATGACTAAAGCTGAGTCAGCCGGGCCCTGGGGAAGTACTGACTTTCTCTTCAAAGCAAAGCCCCTCGCCAGCCCGAGACCTGCTGCTGTTTTCCTGTGTGTTATCGGTTGTTTCCCAGAGTGAACAAGCCTCAACTGGAGCTACTTGTTCCTGGGAAGCCTCTGTTTTCCCTGGTTCCCAGGGCAGGACAGAGCCTAGAATGGGCCCTCACTGACCAGAGTCCTCTGCCAGGACAAAGGTCCTCCCTCAGCCCCCAGGTTGTCCAAGCGCCAAGCCACCACTTCGGCTCAGGGATGTGGTTGGGAGGGGCCGGGCTGCTGTCTTCTGCTCTGGGCAGTGTTTTCAGTACAGACACCGCCCTCAGCCCTCCCTGCTGGCACTGGAAACACACATACCCCACACCCTAAACACACGGAGCTATTTCAGTCCTCTCTCTCCTTAGCAGGGAAACCCTGATGGGGACATGAAAGAACAGTCAGGCTGGCTGTGACAAAACCGCCCTGACCAGCCAGCAGAGTCTCAGATACAGCCCTACAGATCTGGCTTAACAGAGTAACACTTCAGCTGGTGGGGCCAGTGACAACACTGCCCTACCCTGGCGGGACACACCAAGGCCCAGGGGACACTCACCTGTCTTCTGGTCTCCGCTGACCAGGAATTCAAGGATGCTGTTCATGGCCCCCATGTAGAAGATGAGCCGCAGCTGTGTGACACACATGGTGACCAGGCTGAGCAGCAGGATGGGGCTGAACACGCTGTGCATGAATGAGGGGGCCGCTGTGGGAAGAAAACATGAGACTCAGGACCAGGACACGTGGCCCATCTAACATCCGGGCCCTGGGAAAGGGAAGAAGGCCCAGTATACAGGCTGTGCCGGAGGTGAGGGTCCAAGAAGAGCCCTGTTGAGGTCTGTGCTGAGCCTCATGAGCAGCCTCCCTAAGCTCTGTGAAACTCAGCACCTGTGGCTGTAAAATAGGCTGGATGGTACCTCTGCCCCTTTTGAGACAGAATAGGTATTCGGGGCCAGAATGCCCACAGAGCCTCAGCCCATGTTTGCTAATCCAGGAAGCCCTGGCCACACCTGTAATGTGAATGAGGGTTTGCTGTCGCCCTCCCCACCCCCACCTCCTGCCCCAGATCTCCAGGCCAACTTGGAAGGTGAGAGCCAATGTGTTGGCTACCTGCAGCATCAGGCTGGCACTTCACCTCCAGGTCAACAGTGGACAGGCACAGCTTGTGGCCCTCCTGCAGGGCAGCTTGCTCCTTGCTGCTCCTCATGGAGCTGCCCACGCTCAGGCGGCGCCCCACTGTGGTCACCTGCTTGTAGAACTGCTTCCCTGTGATCTTGTGGTCAAAGCCCAGCCAGCTGAACTTGATCTTCACCCTGGTGGCCACAGGACAAGTGTTTGTTGGTGCTTCCTAGGACCCTGGCTGGAGGGCGTGTAGGACAGAGAGCACGCCTACTTACGTGTAGTCCATGTCTTCTGGGCCTGGGAAGGGCTCAAGTGGCCAGTTGAAGAAACAGTTGAGGAAAACCAGGCCAGAGCAGCCGGCCCAGACCACCAGGATGACAATGAAGGAGGCACCAGCATCATAGATTAGCTGTCAGGTGAGGGAGAAGTATTATCAACGGAAGCCAGAACAGGCACTGGGAAGGGGCACTGGGAGCTCTCGCTGTGCTGGGCTGTATGAAAAGGCACAGCCTTGTGAGCTGAGCTGTTCAGCTATAGAAACTCACGTTTTGGCAATCCCAACCTGTCTGCCCCTGGAATCCAATTTGAACCAAATGTCACCATTAAAAGGTGATGATCACCTTATCACGGTCACGCCTGTCTTACTGGGTCAAAGGCAACAGTGCTGGCTAAGATTTTTCTGCTCCTTCTGAGGGTTTTTCTTCTTTGTTTTGGAACAGATTCTCATGTAGCTCTGGCTGGCTTCAAACTCCTGATCCTCCACCTCCAGAGGACAAGCACAATCTTGCACTGATTTTTCTCTAGTCTTAAAATACACCTGCAGGAGCTCCGAGTCTGACCAACACCTCCCCTCTAGCTCCTCATGAACTAGGCACAGACACTACTCAAGACTGCTTTGGCCAGGTTGAGTGATGATCCTGGCAGAGGGCAGCTGGCTGTGCATTTTAGCACCAATTGTCACCATTTCCTTTTCTTTTCCTCTTCTCTATTTTCCGTTTATTTTTCACAGTCCTAGAAATTGAACTTACGACCTCCTGTGGGCTTGCCAATTGTCTGCCAGTGAGCTTTACTTAGGGCCCTTGAAAAACTATGAAACAGGCTAGAGAGATGGCTCAGAGGTTAAGAGCACTGGCTGCTCCTCTAGAGGACCAGGGTTCGATTCCCAGCAACCACATAGCAGCACCCAAGTGTCTGTAACTCCGGTTCCAGGGATCCACTGTACCAGCCACATGGTACCCACATGCAAGACCCATACATAAAATAGTTATTTCATTATTTATATAGCATTCTGCCTGCATGTTAGCCTGCATGTCAGAAGAGGGCACCAGAGCTGGGCAGTGGGGTGCACACCTGTAATTCCAGCACTCGGAAGGCAGAGACAGGTGGATTTCCGTGAGTTTGAGGCCAGCCTGGTCTACAAAGCGAGTTCCAGGACAGTCAGGGCTACACAGAGAAGTCCTGTCTCGAAAAACAAAATAAAACAAAACAAAAAAGAGCACCAGATCTCATTATAGATGGTTGTGAGCCACCATGTGGTTACTGAGAATTGAACTCCGGACTTCTGGAAGTGCTCTTAACCTCTGAGCCATCTCTCCAGCTCATAAATAAACAAATCTTAAACAAACAAACAAACAAAACAAAACAACAACAACAAAAAAAAAACTATGAGACAAGTACAGATTAACTTGCCCAGGTTGCCCTTGAACGTGCTTTGTAGCCAAGGAAAGCCCTGAACTTGCCATCCCCTCCTGTCTCAGCTTCCTTAGTAGTCATGATTCCAGGCCTGTGCCCCTAAGCTTGTCTTGATCATCCTCATTTTTTGCAGACCCAATGTTTGGGTCTGCTAAGTGCCCTGGCATGTAGCTGCCAGCTACCTCGGTAAAGGCCAGCAGTTATACACAGAGGACATTGAACTTTTCTGCTTCCTCCACCATCCAGGAGCAAGAGAAAGCTCACAGGAGGGCTGGCCAAATTCCTACTACCCACCACAGGGATCCCCAGGTTCCCAGCCTCCACTTGTGGCGCCCTCTCATCATGGCATGTCTGTACCCCTAAATTCACCTTCTCCTTGATGCCAGTGCTCAGGGAGGAAAAGTCTCTGGTGGCATCCTGAGAGAGTAACAGAATAGGGGAGGGAACTGAGACTAGGAGATTTCGAGCCTAGGCTCCTTCCTGATCCCACGTGACTTCCACAGGCTCAGAAGCCTGCCTGGGAGGGAAACAGCTGAACCAACTTGGCAGACAGCAGAGCTCCGGCTGGCTAATGGGGAACAGCAGCCCAACATCAACAGGCTGGAGGCTCCCGGGACCGGAGACAAGCTCACCCACCCCGCTTTCCCTTCCCCATCCAGTCTGGGGTCACACACCACAGCACATCTCAAGCCCTCCTCTCCCAGGGGCCCCAGTGGTTTTCTTTTCTTGCGCCTGTGGCACCAGGTGCATCCTGCCCAGGTGGGGGGGCAGCTGAGGGGCCGCCACTAGTGCTCACCATGACTTCTCTCTTCAGAGAGGCTGCAGAGGCCTAAGCCAAGGTCTCTGCCCAGATGCTAGGGAAAAGTACCATTAGGGGAGGCGAAGAGACTCCAGCTGGCCACACCCTCACCTTGATTCCTGGGAAGGTAACCGCCGAGGAAGCATAGGATCCAATCATCAAGGCAATAAATGTGGACCGAAGGTCACCGAACATATTGGGCAGCTAAGGGCATGGATGGAGGAAAAAAAGGCTTAGGTCACAGGTGTGTCTCGCCTTTTGACACTGTGACACAACACTGTCATCTGCAAAATTCATACCAGAGAACTATGCAATTGAGGTTACAAAAGTGGCAAGAAAGTCTCCTTTTAGGTAAGCTTATGTGTTGGGCTGCGATCATAGCTGTCCTGGGCCGAGTCTGGACTTGCCTGAGGGAGGAGGGAAGAGAGCAGCTAGCAATGGCCAGGCCTCACGTCTCACCTGCTCTCCCTCTGTGGAATTCACAGCATAACAGTCTAGGCAATTAACTGCACGATTTCCCTTCCCAGGCAGAGATAGAGAAGGGACACAGCATAAGGAAGAAATCCAACTCCAGAAGAAAAGACACAGCATTGACTGTCTGCTCATGGCCTCTACCACTCCTGACACAGACCAGGGCCCTTAGCCTATGTGAAGGAGGTATCACAGAGCAAAGTTGTGAGCCATAAGCACTCCTCAAAGGGAGAAAGCCCGTTAAAAATAAGAATCTATTTGGGGAAAAGAGTGTCATTTTATAAATAAAAATATCCAAAGAGTCCCCAGAAGACCAGATGCCAGCAAAAGCTGCTTTCGGTTTTGAGAGAATGTTTCTGCAAGGTGCCAATCACAATCCTGACAAGGGAGGTGGCTCCCATTCCTGCCTCAAGAGTTTTTGAGTGTAAGTAGAAGATTCTCTCCAACCCAACACTCTAGCCTGGGAATCATCTGGCACTTCCAGAAAGCCAAGATTGGGAAAGCTTAGGCAGTTTTTAACATGACCACTGTGAGCACGGGTGCAAAGCAAGGGCTCATCTGGAATGATCTCAAAGCCAAACCCAAATGACTCTGCAGAAGCTCAGGCCTGCGAAGATACACGGCCGGATCCATGGCTCCGCAGTTAAAAGCAATTGTTGCTCTTACATAGGGCCTGGGTTCGGTTCCCAGCACTGACGGGGCTCACAGCCCTCCTTAACTCCAACACTTTCTTCTGGCCTCTGTGTACTGCACACACGCTATACATACATTTGTACATGTAGACAAAACACTCATACACATAAATAAAATATCTTTAAAAAAAGGTGTCCCAGGCATGGTGGCACATGTTGTTAATCCCAGCGCTTGGAGGCAGAGGCAGTCTATCTCTGTGAGTTGAGGCCAGCCTGGTTGACAAAGTGAGTCCAGACAGCCAAGGCACACAGAGAAGCCCTGTTTCGGAGAAGGAAAAAAAAATGACAACAAGCCATGGATGGATTCTCACACCCTGGAGTAGAGCACAGCCTGGCCTCAAGCAGCCACAGCTCTTTTGGCATGAACAGTGCCACTGGCACCGGGGACATTCTTTTGAGAGTTATGTCTACCTGTGTCATTAAATTCAGCCAGTGTATGTGAGCCTAAACTACGCTCCTTTCCTCACTAAGATTCCCCCCAGAATCCCACACTCACCTAGGTGACTGAGGAGAGAGAGGTCTCAAAGTTCCCTGAGGCTCACAGCACGACCCTACCTCAAGACAAGAGAAGGCCACTGTGAGCCCATTCCTTCGCACTAAACTGGGGTAGCTGGAATGCTATGCCTGTCTCTCATTATTTCTGCCTGCTTCTGTTCATGATTAAATAAATAAGCAATGAACCTTATAAAATTTTTTAAATGTCTATACTCTGAAAGAAGCAGGGGCAGGAGGATCACTACCGGTGTGAGGAGGCCAGCTTTGTCTACATAGTTAATTTCAGGCCAACGAGGCTATACAGTAAGAGCCAACCTTAAAACAAAGGGAAGAGACGAGGTGTAGCTGTGCAAGCCATTAATCCCAGCATTCAGGAGGCAAAGGCAAGTGGATCTCTGTAAGTTCAAGACCAGCCTGGTCTACATAGCAATTTCCAGATAGATAGATAGATACATACATACATAGCCAGAGTGATGGCGGGAAAGGCACTTGCTGCCAAGGCTGACAACCTACCTTCAACCCCTGGGAGCCACACAGTAGAGGGAGAGAGCCAAGCCTCACACGCTGTCCTGTGACCTCCACACGTGCATGCACACAAGCCGCACTAGGGTGGCCGTTCTAGGTTAGGCAGTAACAAGGCTTGGGGGGAGCCCAGAGGGAGCTAGTATAACCTTCCAGAAGGAATAGACACTACAGCCCCTTTGGAAACAGTTGGTTTTTCAGACAGCTGAAACAAAGTAACCCGTCTAGTCTCCTCTAGGTACTCCTAGGAGATAGAGAACTATGTTTTGCACACCAGCGTTTAGGACGGCTCTCTTCCTAATAGCAAAGGTGGAAACAGCCCTCCAAGATGAACAGACAAACGAAAGGTGCTATTTACAGAACTGCCAAAAGGAGAGAAGAACTGAGTCGTGCTCCGTGGTGTGAGCCTGGGAAAACAGTACACGAGGGCTCAGGAGACCACACCTGGCTCCTTCCAGCACCCACGCGGTGGCGAACAACCACCTGAACTCCAGTTCCAGAGGATCCGATGCCCTTTTCTGGACTCCGTGGGCACTGCATGCATGCGGTGCACATACAAACATGCGCGCAAAACACCTTTCCCCAGATGATTTTCTTAAAAGAGCACGTTATATACGTCCATTGTCTGGAATGTCCCACGTAGACAAATTCAAAGAGTAGATTAGTGATAGGCAAAGGCCGGGGTGCAGGATTTTTGTTTGGGGTGGTGGAGTTGACTGAAGAGATGACTACACACCTCTGTAAATACATTAAAACACATTGGAGCAGGGCACAGCGCCTGCACTCTGGGAGGCAGAGGCAGGCGGATCTCTGTGAGTTCGAGGCCAGCCTGGTCTAAAAAGAAATCCAGGAGAGCCAAGGCTACACAGAGAAACCCTGTCTCAAAAACCAAAACGACACAACTGCACACTGGACTTGCATGCTCTAGGTGAAATGAATGCTAAACAAATTCTAGGTAATTAGTACTTTTCAGAATATTAGTAAGAAACAGGATAGTTTGGGGGGGAAGGAACATTAACAAATGTATAAGTCTTATGGTACAAAGCCAGGGTGATGAGCTAAGCTTTTTCCAAATTCTTAGCACAGAAGAAGCTTTTTCTCTTCATTCTAAACTTTCTGGGAGGGGTGGGAGGGGGACAAGTGAGGGGCATAGGAGACAAAGAAAATGTGACACGGCCAAGTGCACATGAACCCGCTCAGGTGAGCGCTGAGTTAACTGCTCCCTGCACACCTGCCTGGAAGAATGGGGCAGTTCAAGGGCACATTCCCATCCCAATGCGTGTTTTTAGGCAGCAAAATACACCTGTGGGAAAGGCGTCTGTCAGGAAGAAGCACTTCGCAGCAACTGCCTATGTGGAGAGAGGGAAACACTGCTGCAGGGGACTGCAGTCCACTCAGGAAGGGTGGAGAAAGAAAGATGATCAAAGAGGTCACGCAGGGAGGCCAGTACCCGTCCTCCTCCAGGCAGCATCCATGTAAACACCGAGCATGCACCCCTGCACACAGCTACTATCCCTCAGGGGAAATTCCCCACATGAGAATCCGCCCTGAACCTTCAGCAGGGCTAGGAAAACAGGCCAGAAAAGCAGAGCACGTGCTGACTGACCCTGTTCTTTCTTCTATCTTCATCTCAAGCCCACCATATCCGTTACCCAGGATAGAGGCCAGCGTAACAAGGGCCCTGCTCTGATCTCCTCACACCAGACTCCAGAGACAGAAGGGCAGTTCACCTGCTCATGATGAAATCATTTGCCCTGGGCAGGATGGATAGCTGCAGCTGAGCTCTCCCTCCTGGCTACCTGCCTGGAGCATTTCTGATCAGTTTTCTGAGACAAGATCTCCTATGATCCTTCAATCTTTCACCTGGCCCCTCCCAAAGTGCTGGGATTACCGGCATGGGCCACAGCACCCAGCCTCCTACCTGGAAGAGTGTTACAAAACCAAGAAAACTCATGTTATTTTGGCCAGCGTGCCCTTCTGAGGGGAGCACGGAGCCTCAGAGCAAACCACATTAAACAGCCTCCCGCCAACGCCCATTTCTTGCATTTTAAATTATGAATATTTTTTTTCTAATTATAAGAGGAATGCATGTCCACTATAAAACATTTGGAACAAAGACAACTTGTGGGAATTGGTTCTTTCCTTCCACTATTTGCATCCCAGGGACTGACCCTGGGGTCATCAGCCTTGGCAGCAAGTGCCTTGCTTCACCCACTGAACCATCTCACCAGCCCCACATACTGTTATACTTTCTCCTTCTTCTGACGAAGTTGCACTAAGTTGCCCAGGCTGATCTTGAACTCCTGGGCACAAGTCATTTTTCTGCTTTAGTCTTTCAAACAGCTGGGACTACAGGGTTGCAACACTGTATCCAACTAACCCTTCCCTCTCCCACCCCTCTTTAACTTCTCTTTTCTTTGAGACAGGATTTCTCTGTACAGTAGCTCTAGCTGCCCTGGAACTCCCTTTGTAGACCAGGCTAGCCTCAAATTCACGTAGATCCACCTGCCTTTGCCTCCTGAGTGCTGGGATTAAAGGGGTGCACCAGCTTCTTAACTTCCCCTTCTGTGTTGTTGCCAGTATTTTATATGTACGGGTGTTTTGCCTGCATATATGTCTACGTACATGCATGCAGGGACCCAAGGAGGCCAGGTGTTGGATACCTTGAAACTGGAGTTATAGATGGTTGAGAGCTGCTGTGTGGGTGCTGGGAACCAAACTCAAGTCCTCTCACAGAGCAGATACTCCTAACCATTGAACCAACTGAACCATCATCTCTCCAGCCCCTTCATATTGGTTTTCACTTTTGTATGTTTCTTTGTTTTGGTTTTTCAAGATTGGGTTTCTCTGTGTAGCCTTGGCTGTCCTGTAGCTTTGTAGACCAGGCTGGTCTCAAACTCACAGAGATCCACCTGCCTCTGCCTCCCTGAGTGCTGGGATCACAGGCAAGTGCACCTTGTACAATCACGTTTGTTTTTAAGATATGGTCCCATGTAGCCAGGTTAGCTTCATACTCCTATTAGG